AGTCCATGAGTTCGTACATTGGTACGTTCATTGATAGTGAAATATATTTTTTGACGGAGCTTGCTATATCCTGGCTTGTTATCTCGCTCTCGGAAACAAACGATCGACTCTTTCTATGTGTTGTGGATCAAACGTCACTGCCATGTCTAGCCACATTTAAAAAAAGCACTGTACAGCAGTCAGTTTCCTTGAAGATTTATCAAGATACCAGCTCAAGTGAAGCTGGTGTCCAGGAGCAAAGACGTAAGAACACAACAAATCAGCATGGCACAATCAATGTTCTGCCACCAACAGCAGCTTGCTGAACAGCTTCTCACCCCCAACACATAATGACATAGCGGCCTGCTTGGGTTCAAACAATTCAATATTCTTTCTGTTGATACCACCATCTAGGGCGTAACATTGAGGCACGTTGCCAATACATGTCCCAAAAAGCAGAATTCGAACGCACCTCACACGGGGCAGCCCGCTCTTTGTTTCCTTGGGTGGCTGCCCGATCCGCTGCATACTCGCACCCTTCACCTGGGCTCACGGTGAAGGCGGTTGCCAGGAACACCAAACCAAATTCGCCAGGCCAATTCGTCCAGGGTCCAGAGGCCTCTTGTGATATCCTTGTGTTAGCTTGAAAGTTCGGAAGACATTAATTATTCATAGCAACACAACCACTGGGTCGGTGTTCGGCCCTCTTCAAGAAGTTGAACTGCTTACTATTTCACACAAGGAAGGGCTCGCTCGTTTCACCAGGCATGTGAGACATGTATAACATTTGCCTCACAAGTAAGAAGGTGTACGGTTGCAGTAGGAACACCTCTGATGCGTTGGGGCCTGTTGTTTACTTCATGCCTGTGGTCCCTTTCAAAAGCAAGACCACGCATATCTTTGCACAAGTGTCCATTCCGGGGCCTAACAAAGAGGACATCACCGCACCTAGCTGCCCTTTAGGAGAGCAAGGGCACGGATTCTACCCGCGCGGTCGGATGCTGCTCAAGACCGCATGTCAGTGCCAATGTACCAAGCGAGGGTGTCTACAAAGCCAGGGTCCTGCGACGCATCGCAGCCAAACAAGACAGGCCTTCCATTGACATGGCACCGTCGTCCAAACAAATGTGTGTTCTCAAGGACTGCGTGGTGTGTGTGTGTGTGCGCGTGCTGAGAGTTGATCAGTATTCATCTGGACCGTGCCAAGCTCCCACCCCGTCTTTGCCGCTCAAGACAAGATGGAATGACTCGGGACTTCTCTTGTATGCTGCTTTGGCGAGAGCTGGAGGGGTCGAAGGCTTTGATCTGGACTGTGCCAAACTCCCACCCGCATCCTTGGTCAACACAGTATGGGATGAACTTGTGGCTATAATTGAACTGTCTATGCCAACTTGTTTGCCCTCAATGTCTTCGGGGCATATCCTCCGACCCGCAACGATCATGCTCGCGTTTGAAAGGCATCGTTTCTCAGGGTAATGGCCTTCAACCTAGCTTCGAGTCTCCCGACCCGTTGAGCCGCTTGTCCGCTCATCAGTGCGCTGTTGGGAGAGAGGAGCTGCCTGCAGGAAACCGAGCCGAGCTGCTGAGAATAGCAAACCAAAATCTGTACAGTACCAGATCTTGCTGGCCAAATATTGCTCTCACTGCAATCATTCTAGCTGGGAAATCCACACCCTGGCAAATCCAGTACACCCCGGACCGGCACGTTGAAGAAGCTATTGGATGTTGCGTTTAAGGCTGGCTTGCTGCTCCCTGGGCAAACAACCTCACCATTTGCCAAACGAAAACCCGCCTCCAAAGTGCATTGAACAAGGTCTCGGGCGATGGCCCCAGACCTCGGAAAGCGACATCGAAGCGATGCGCCTAGCTCTACCTTGCCCCTTTCGAAACGGCTGTTGTATGAGCTGCAATCAGAGTCGAGTGACTGTTTGTGACTCCTTGCTCTGAAGGCACAGCTAGCCCATTGCATCACAAGCACGTGTTCCACTCTTGGCCCAGCGCCATCCAGTGCCCATCGTTTCATGTCAGTTTTTGGCACTGGTGCTCTGTTTAGGACTTCTGCGAAGGACTTCCAGCTACACCGTGCAGTGCGGCAATGCAACAACTAAACGTTCAGAGGCAAAGCTGTCTTTGGGCGTTCCTTCCTTACATCCTGGAATCCCAGCATTGCCTTGGACAGCCATCGATCCGCGGCGAGTCCAGAGGGCAGTCTTTGCACTTCAAGTCTCCCTTTCGGCCAACGATCCGCAGCCGGCTTCTGTACAATGGAAGACTTCCAGACAAAGATCTAGGGCTTAGGGGTTCATCCCCGAACTGTACAAACAAAACGAAACATACCAACCGAGCTCAGACTTCGACATTATCATGCAGGTCTTGCCACTTCCGGCCATGACTCCATGACCATCAACTCAGCTACTGTCACTGGCATCATCCTGGATCACGTCCTCGGCTTCTGTGGCTTCCGTGGCTTCCGTGTCGGACACGCACAGGGGCTTCATGATACCATCAGACCACAACGGTCCACCAGGCCGGGGGAAGATGTGGAAGGCCAACTTCTCCGGGGAGGGTGCAGCACCCCCACCCTCGCAATTGGCCACCATCTTGTATCCTGGAACGCCTTTCAGTTGGAAGTGGATCAGCATCGAGGCCAAGAAGGTTTTGGCCTCGAAGAGAGCGAACTGACTGCCAATGCAAGCGCGTGTGGCGAAGCCCCACGGGTGGTAGGCGTTGGGATGTCGCTGCCTCACTGCTTCGGGCGAGAAACGATCTGGGTTGAAGCTCAATGGATCTCCAAATTCCCCACCCCAGTACTCCGGGTTCGTATGCAAGGCCCGTGTCACCAGGTTGATCCTCTCGCCTTGATACACGCGATGACCGCCCAGCAGGGTATCATACGCCACGTCCCGCGTGATGGAGGTCACCGGGCTGTAGAGCCTCAGGGCCTCGCGGAAGCACTGCTCCACGAACTGGAGCTTCGGCACGTCCTCTACGCTCGGCTCGCTTTTGCCCTGCAGCACCTGCCGCACCTGGCGACCCGGAGCAGCTCTGAATTCATGGACCGGCGGACCCTTTCGGGTTCGTATTCAGAGGGCCGAAAAAATGAAGCATTTAAGAAACAAGTCCAGGGGCGGGACCAGCTCCTTGCAGAAACAAAGGAAACACCGCGCCTCCTCCAGCGCGCGCTGCTCAAACTCCGGATGCTCTGCCAAGAGCTGCATCGTGAAGCCCAGGGTGGCGGCAGTGGTCTCATGGCCTGCAATCATCAGATTCACCACGTGCCCGTACAGAGCGCCGAATCGAACCTTCTTGCCGTCCGCACTATCGTTGAGCATGGCAGCAATGATGGAGTTCTCACTCAGTTCACCTCTTCGAGTGGCTTCAACCAAGTCCTCCACCTGTCTCTGCATCTCCTTCTTAGTGGCTTCGTACTTCTCCTGAAGTTGACCTTCAGCATCAAAGAACGGCAGGAAGCGCTTGAGACCGTACTCTGACTGCGTGGTGATGCTTCCGATCGACACGCCGAGGCCAAAACGAAAGGTCTCCACAAACTTGTGGGGCGGCTGCTTCGAACCCAAGCGCTCCACATTGCACATGTCCATTCCCATGCTACATGAAACCACAGCATCCGCGGTCATTGCGGTCAGCCACTCGTTCACGCCTTCCACCAGCTGCCCGGCTTCAAATTTGGACCATTCCGCAACAAAAGCACGAGTCTTGGCCAGTATCTGCGGTGCAAAACCCTTCACTTTGATCTGATTGAAACCGCGAGGAAGGAGACTATGCCCCGTCTTCCAATCCTCCGACTTCTCACTGCTGGTGAAGAGCCCGTTGGCGGTGAAGTCTTGCAAACCGACCTGGGGGTGTGTTTCTGAGGTGCTCGCTTCACCTTACTTAAAAGGGAAACCAAGAGGAAAACCAATCTTTTGGGGACTAACTCTTTTGACACATACCCACCTCGACATCGCGGTTCCAAAGCTTGGGGAAATCTGCAGGTCTTGAGATCATCTCTTGGACGATGTTGGCATCCGCGGTCATGATCTCGAAGTATTGGGCGTCCCGGTGAATGACCGCTGCCCCAAACTCCCCGACACTTTGCTTGCGCCCTTCATGAGATCGAACGGTGGAGCCCCAGGGGTACTTGCCACTTGTGGGGAAGACGTTCTGAGCAAAGTTGTACTCCGGGATCGGATAGGGTCCCTTGGACTGGTAGGTCGTGCCCAGGATGGGCAAGCAAGTGCCACAAATGGGGAAAGCCGTTGGACCACTTGGCACATCCGCCGGCCGAGGTACTTCCCGAGCGAACACCAGCTGAATCACGCGCAAGTGATCTGGCGGCAGAGTCGCGAGCAACAGCTCTAGGCAGCCGATCTCTTTGAGCTCTTCCCCCAGCTTGAGGCAGGCTCCGTCCACCGTCTCGCGCTCCACCGGATAGAAGCTGAAGTCCACATCCGCACCCAACGCGGCACAGGTCGCTTGGCGCAAGTCTACCACGCTGGCCGCTTTCGGAAGCTTCACCAACTGCCAGGTTGCAGCCGTGATCTCAGGGCAATGCACTGCAAGGTGGTACTCAAAAGAAGAAGAGGCATCGCATCGCACGGAATCCCTCAAGGATTGTTTGAGAGCCGAAGATGCCACCATAACCGCTGTGGCCCCTACAGCCATGCCGCCTGCTAGCTTCAGCATCTGAGAGCTCTCGGCCATTGTCAAAGGTCGAAGTTGCGAAGCAGATCTGTACGCTGCGATGTTGAGCTGTTGAGCTTGAGCCAATGTGGCAATGATCAGTGGTATCAGTGCTCCCTTTAGGACTTCTGCGGAGGACTTCCAGCTACACCGTGCAGTGCGGCAATGCAACAACTAAACGTTCAGAGGCAAAGCTGTCTTTGGGCGTTCCTTCCTTACATCTTGGAATCCCAGCATTGCCTTGGACAGCCATCGATCCGAGGCGAGTCCAGAGGGCAGTCTTTGTACTTCAAGTCTCCCTTTCGGCCAACGATCCGCAGCCGGCTTCTGTACAATGGAAGACTTCCAGACAAAGATCTAGGGCTTAGGGGTTCATCCCCGAACTGTACAAACAAAACGAAACATACCAACCGAGCTCAGACTTCGACATTATCATGCAGGTCTTGCCACTTCCGGCCATGACTCCATGACCATCAACTCAGCTACTGTCGCTGGCATCATCCTGGATCACGTCCTCGGCTTCTGTGGCTTCCGTGGCTTCCGTGTCGGACACGCACAGGGGCTTCATGATACCATCAGACCACAACGGTCCACCAGGCCGGGGGAAGATGTGGAAGGCCAACTTCTCCGGGGAGGGTGCAGCACCCCCACCCTCGCAATTGGCCACCATCTTGTATCCTGGAACGCCTTTCAGTTGGAAGTGGATCAGCATCGAGGCCAAGAAGGTTTTGGCCTCGAAGAGAGCGAACTGACTGCCAATGCAAGCGCGTGTGGCGAAGCCCCACGGGTGGTAGGCGTTGGGATGTCGCTGCCTCACTGCTTCGGGCGAGAAACGATCTGGGTTGAAGCTCAATGGATCTCCAAATTCCCCACCCCAGTACTCCGGGTTCGTATGCAAGGCCCGTGTCACCAGGTTGATCCTCTCGCCTTGATACACGCGATGACCGCCCAGCAGGGTATCATACGCCACGTCCCGCGTGATGGAGGTCACCGGGCTGTAGAGCCTCAGGGCCTCGCGGAAGCACTGCTCCACGAACTGGAGCTTCGGCACGTCCTCTACGCTCGGCTCGCTTTTGCCCTGCAGCACCTGCCGCACCTGGCGACCCGGAGCAGCTCTGAATTCATGGACCGGCGGACCCTTTCGGGTTCGTATTCAGAGGGCCGAAAAAATGAAGCATTTAAGAAACAAGTCCAGGGGCGGGACCAGCTCCTTGCAGAAACAAAGGAAACACCGCGCCTCCTCCAGCGCGCGCTGCTCAAACTCCGGATGCTCTGCCAAGAGCTGCATCGTGAAGCCCAGGGTGGCGGCAGTGGTCTCATGGCCTGCAATCATCAGATTCACCACGTGCCCGTACAGAGCGCCGAATCGAACCTTCTTGCCGTCCGCACTATCGTTGAGCATGGCAGCAATGATGGAGTTCTCACTCAGTTCACCTCTTCGAGTGGCTTCAACCAAGTCCTCCACCTGTCTCTGCATCTCCTTCTTAGTGGCTTCGTACTTCTCCTGAAGTTGACCTTCAGCATCAAAGAACGGCAGGAAGCGCTTGAGACCGTACTCTGACTGCGTGGTGATGCTTCCGATCGACACGCCGAGGCCAAAACGAAAGGTCTCCACAAACTTGTGGGGCGGCTGCTTCGAACCCAAGCGCTCCACATTGCACATGTCCATTCCCATGCTACATGAAACCACAGCATCCGCGGTCATTGCGGTCAGCCACTCGTTCACGCCTTCCACCAGCTGCCCGGCTTCAAATTTGGACCATTCCGCAACAAAAGCACGAGTCTTGGCCAGTATCTGCGGTGCAAAACCCTTCACTTTGATCTGATTGAAACCGCGAGGAAGGAGACTATGCCCCGTCTTCCAATCCTCCGACTTCTCACTGCTGGTGAAGAGCCCGTTGGCGGTGAAGTCTTGCAAACCGACCTGGGGGCGTGTTTCTGAGGTGCTCGCTTCACCTTACTTAAAAGGGAAACCAAGAGGAAAACCAATCTTTTGGGGACTAACTCTTTTGACACATACCCACCTCGACATCGCGGTTCCAAAGCTTGGGGAAATCTGCAGGTCTTGAGATCATCTCTTGGACGATGTTGGCATCCGCGGTCATGATCTCGAAGTATTGGGCGTCCCGGTGAATGACCGCTGCCCCAAACTCCC